GGAGCAGAGCTGCCCAATTAAACTGCACCAGCAAAATTCAGCCTGAAGCACAGTCCCTGTGCTTGCTGAGGGGACCCACAGACCTATAATAAGCCCACTCCAGAGTAGCTGCCCCATGGACACATGAATTCTAATTGCTGATTGTTGTTTGAAACCATAGGGTTTTGAGGTGATTTTATATGCAGGAGTAGTTGGTAATCGTAATTCTGAAGGATGGCCTTTTGGATTTCAGGTAGGTGACAGGGATCTGAAAGATTGAAATAGAAGGGCAGTGTGTGTGGTGCGGGGCATCTGTTAATTCTTCACACATGTAGGAACTAGAATACCAAATGGCAACTGAGTTACAGAAAATGGACAGCTACCCATTATTACAGTGTAGGAGATAAGGGTCTCTTTAGGTCATAAAGTTAAACTGATGCTCAGATACCTGAGCTTTTTAATTAAGTTCATTTGAATAAAGACCAAGTGGGGTTGAACCAGCAACAGCGAATTACGTGACTTTAGCTATTAGGTCTACAGAAAAAGAAATCAAGCAGTAGGTTGAGGTTAGATCTAGATCAGGAGGTGGAATTTTTTCTGTGAAGGTCCAGATAGCAAATATTTTACACTTTATGGGCTCTACGCTGTCTATCACAACTTTTCAATATGCCTATTGTTGCACAAAAGCAGCCATTGCTAACAAGCAAATAAATGTGAGTGACTGCCTTCAATAAAATTTTATTTACAAAAACAGAGGGTCTGGAATTGGCCCACAGGTTATAGTTTGCTCAATTCTCATCTAGATTCTTGTAATAATATTATGTCGGGAATTGGTGGGTTCTTGGTCTCACTGACTTCAAGAATGAAGCCGCGGACCCTCGCGGTGAGTGTTACAGTTCTTAAAGACGGTGTGTCCCAAATTTCTTCCTTCTGGTAGGTTCGTGGTCTCGCTGGCCTCAGTAGTGAAGCTGCAGACCTTCACGGTGAGTGTTACAGCTCTTAAAGGCGGCGTGTCTGGAGTTGTTCATTCTTCCCGGTGGGTTCGTGGTCTTGCTGGCTTCAGAAGTGAAGCTGCAGACCTTCATGGTGAGTGTTGCAGCTCTTAAAGGCGGCACATCTGGAGTTGTTCATTCTTCCTGGTGGGTTTGTGGTCTGGCTGGCTCCAGGAGTGATGCTGCAGAGCTTTGCATTGAGTGTTACAGCTCACAAAGGCAGCGTGGACCTGAAGAGTGAGCAGCAGCAAGATTTATTGCAAAGAGCAAAAGAACAAACCCTCCAAGGTGTGGAAGGTGACTGAAGCTGGTTGCCACTGCTGGCTTGGGCAACCTGCTTTTATTCCCTTATCTGACCCCTCCCACATCCTGTTGATTGGTCCATTTTACAGAGAGCTGATTGGTCCATTTTGACAGAGTGCTGACTGGTGCGTTTCTAATCCTTGAGCTAGACACAGAGTGCCAGACAGAAAAGTTCTCCAAGTCCCCACTAGGTTAACTTGATACAAAGTACCAATTGGTGTATTTACAAACCTTGAGCTAGACACAGAGTGCTGATTGGTGTATTTACAAACCCTGAGCTAGACACAGAGTGCTGATTGGTGTATTTACAATCGGGGAGGTAGGGGAGGCAGGGGCTCGGACATAGCAGGCTGCAGGTCATGAGCCCTGTCCTGCGGGGAGGCGGCTGAGGCCTGGCAAGAATTTGAGAGTGGTGCATGCGGGCCGGCAGTGCTGGGGGACACTGCGCAACCTCCGCAGCTGCTGGCCCAGGTGCTAAGCCCGTCACTGCCCCGGGCGGGGGTGGGGAGTTTGGGGGGACTTGGCTGGTGCCAGGGCAGGCACCCGCTGGAACTCATGCTGGCGTAGCACCAGTTCCCACCCATGCCTCTCCCTCTACACTTCCCCAGCAAGCAGAGGGAGCTGGCTCCGGCATCAGCCAGCCCAGAGAGGGGCTCCCACAATGCAGTGGCAGGCCGAAGGGCTCCTCAAGCACCACCAGAGTGGATGCCGAGGCCAAGGAGGCACCGAGAGTGAGGGCTGCTAGCACATTGTCACCCCTCAATATTATGTTATTGAATAAAACATTTAAAACTAATTATTTGTGAGAAATTTAAGGTAAAAATTGCAAATGTGTGGCATGTATACTCAAAGTTCTCCCTTTGAGCTAATAATAGACATCACAATCTTTCCTGGAATTCTTTCTCCCAGTTTGGAAATATCCTCTGAATTGTTCATATTGCAGCAATCCAGACAGTCATTACCAATTTGTCATTGCTTGTAAGCTACATAAAGGAAAATAATAATATCCACAACTCAAAGGCTTCTCTTTTACTAGCCATAGAAAAATGTTCCAACTTTGCAAAGTGACTGCAAATTTAACTTAAACCCTCTGACAACAAATGGAGGTAAGTGTAATAGAATAATAATAAAAACATTGAATTTATAAGAATTTCTTAATGTTATTTTATGTTGAATCATTTGCTTTTGATGTATACATATTTGCTTTTGAAGCTGTGAAACTTGGATTGAAGATACAGTAGGGAACATGAAGATCCATACTAGGGATCATCTGGTTAAGGTGGAGTGTAGAGTTGTAAAAAGTAGATGCATTGGCGGTGGAATAAGGAAAGAATAGTTTGTAAAATTAGATAGGTTCCTTGGTGCGATGCTCCATGAATGTAGCTACACCATGTGTCTGTGGACAGTGAGATATGATGATGAGACAGATTGGATAAGAATCTTGGTGACTCATTCCCTCAGCTCCATGGAGGTGAATGTCATCTTTGCCACAGAGCTGTGATGGCTGCAGATGGAAGAAGGTTTGAAGAAAAACTGTGAACACTGCAAGCTATTTTGAGGAAATCTGTCAAAATGGAAAAGTATTTTCTCCTCAGTGGTCCAACATAAATCCAATATGGATTATTGATCATGGTTTTTGGCAATTTCACTTGAACTGAGCCTAAATAATCAGGCACGTGCTGTGCTGAGTACTGCCACGGTTGTTTAATTGCAAAATCAATTCCAAGGCAGTGTATCTCCTAGCCAAGGCTTCTTTGCTAATCAGGCCTGAATGTGTTGGATGGGGGTAGCCAATAAGATGCAACACTGGCCTTCTGTTATAACAATGACATTTCCTTTTTACAGTTCTTTATGGCACCCTCATCCCTTGGTAATGGCTTGTGAACAGCTTGAACTCCCCAGGCAATTCTTGAATAATCTTTTCCCCACACAGCCATAAAGAAGGCCAGCCTGGAAACTTGTATCACATGATTTGATCAGTCTGCTGACAGGGCTGGAGAGTTCTCTTGATATGACACTTGTGAAGTGGTAGTAAAGCTGGGTCTGATCCACAGTAGCAGGTGGCTTAGGCATCAGCAATGCAGTCATTTAATGAGATAAGCTTGAAAACACTGAGCAAAAGTTTAGAGGACTGAATATTTAGTGAGAAAGTTCAATTAGTATAGTTATTCTTTGGAGAGGGTCCCCCCAAAGCCTTGGAAGAAGTAAAAATTGTAGGGCTATGACTTTTGAGTGAGCCCATAAAACTTTCTAATTCTTGGCAAAACAGAAAGGATTTTAAAACATTGAGTTGGATGAGGTTCCTCTTGAAGCAGGACTTGCAGTTGCCCTAGAGTCACAGGGGACTGGGCTGAGGAAATCTTTGACTTCATTTGCATTTTCCCAATCATATTAGTCTGTTCTCACATTGCTGTAAAGATACTACCTGAGATTGGGTAATTTACAAACAAAAGACATTTAATTTACTCACAGTTCTGCATGGCAGAGAGGCCTCAGGAAACCTACAATCATGGCAGAAGGTGAAGGGGAAGCAAGGCATGTCTTACATGGTGGTAGGAGAGAGAGATGTGGAGAAACTGCCACTTTTAAACCATCAGATCTCATGAGAACTCCCTCAGTATCACGAGAACAGCATGGGGGAAACCACCCTCATGATCCAATCACCTCCCTCCCACCAGGTTCCTCCCTCAACACATGGGAATTACAATTTGAGATGAGATTTGAGGGGGAACACAGACCCAAACCATGTCACCCACCTATGCCCTGCTGAAAGACTGGTATTCTGAGATCAAGTGACACTAATCATCCTGAGCTGAGATTTCCTGGCATTCCTCTACCTCCACTCTTTCTTTGACACCTCTCTGACCACTCCTCAACTGCCAACCCCCCTGCACATCTTCAATCATGAGAAGAAAAAGGACCTCTCCTCTTTATCTTGTTTTTGTGTTCCAAACTCAGAATCTCTTGTCCAAAATGGTTGGTCAGACAACTTACGAGTGAAGCTGAATTTAACAGTGTCAAGTGTCTATAAATTGTTACACTCTTGGGAGATCACAAGGTCAAGAGATCTAGACCAACCTCACCAACATGGTATAACTCCAGCTCTACTAAAAATACAAAAATTAGCTGGGTGTGTTGGTGCGTGTCTGCAGTCCCAGCTACTTGGGAGGCTGAGGCAGGAGAATCTCTTGAACCTGGGAGGCAGAGAGTGCAGTGAGCTAACACCACTGTGCTTCAGCCTGGGCGATAGAGCAAGACTCCGTCTCAAAAAAAAAAAAAAAATTGTTATGCTCTCTTGTCCACTAAATCTCAGGTAGAAAATATCTGTTAAAAGTATAGATACCCTCAGTATGTCAAAACATGAAGTTTCTAGACACAAACTCCATTGACCCAATTCCTAAAATTCTTCCAGAATTCTTCTCTTCACTCAATCTCCTTAGGGGGGATAAAGATGAGAGGGGTGTTCAAGGCTATGGGACCAAGAGGTAGGGAAGGGATAAAAAATGTTGTAAGACCATGAATGTGTGAGGCTTCTGAAGGAGTCTTTGCAAGACAAGAGCTGGTTTTTATTTGCCCTAAAGGATTTCAGTAATGCTGCTCCTCATATGACTCATGCACTTGTAGACTGACCAGCTAAGAAAACATCTGTTTACAGAAAAGTCATGAAATATGGAAAGTACCACTGCTGATTGTATTTCTATTTTATCCCTTTCATTTTCTTTCCAGACTAGAAGCTCAGGAGCTTTCTTCAGTCTTTTATTAAGAACAAAATGACCAGCAGGAGAATGATGTGAAATTCACTGAGACCTAAATGAAATGTGAGCAAATATTATTACGAAATGGTCTACCTAATTAATAATGCTGCTGAATTGAACTTCAGTGTCTGGTTGACAGCTGACTTAATATAACCTAAATAGGAAGACAATAAAGCTCATCTAGGGAAACTCATTTTAAAGTTTATTAATGCTGTTTTCCTCAGTCCATACGCCTCCTGGCAAATCATTTTATTTTCAGTGATGGAGTCCTACAGAACCCCATTATAGGCCGTATAACCTATATTATGGTCCTTCTGTGTTAGAGTGGGAGTGATATACAGTCCATCCCCATCTGGAAATATCATTTAATGCATGCTATGACTGATTAGAGGGAACAACCTCTTTCTACATGATAAAGTTTACTAGAAAAATGTACAGGGAAAATATTCAGTAAACACTAAAATACCAAATATTCGCATCTCTATCAATGATCATCTGGTCTCGCTCCCTAAAATCCTGTAACTGTACATTTTAGCATAGCTGTAAACACAGTGTGTGCATATGGTTTTGTGTTTTTGCTTTCTTCACCTAACATATCGCATGCATATTTCCATAATGGAATACACAATACAATTTTAAAGCCCACAGACGGTTTAACATATTGATGTATTTAGTGAATATTTTAATACTACTTCTCTGTGCTGAAGCTAATATCCTAACATCTGCCAATTGGAAGTAATTTTTAACTAAATTAAATATGTATGTACTTGTTTCCTAGGACACACAAGCCTGAAAGATGAAAGATACAGTGTTTATGCTTCTCCCTAGGAAGAGCCATAGGCCTTGGGCCCCACCAAGGTAATTCTGGACCCTAGCCCCAGGTCCCTTTCTTGTGATGATAGAATTCTTTTGAGGCTTTGCACATGTTCTTGGAGAGCCATTATCATTTTCCTCTTTGCCCCCATATGACTCTCCAGCTGCTACATATTGAGCATGCTTAGTGTCTTTCTATCACCCCTTGACTGCCTTTCTGAATGTTGGTATTTCTTTCCTCGGTGTGGTTCTAGTTGCACTAACCCTCAGGAAGTTGCCGTTCTGACTGGGGGAGGAATCTCTTTCCATCGTGGATAAAATCATGCTGTTGCTTCTCAGCTTTTATCCATGCACTCATTCATTCATCAGATAGCAATGAGCACTTTGTAAGGCTTTGATCCAATGCATGACACTGGGGATATAGTGGTAGACATGCAGATACAGTCTCTCCCTGTGAAGATTACAGTCTTGAAGTTGTCTTCCATTACTCCACATTAGTGTTGTTATTATTTCTACTTATTTTTTAAATGTAGTGTTCCCTCAGTACCACCAACCTCTGCGAACATAGTGAATTTAGACTACACTCTCACCACTGATATCCGATCAGTATTCCCAGGGCATTATAATATACTGTCACCCCTAACAAGCATAATTTTTACTCCTCTAACTTATTCATTGAGAGGTTGTTTGTCCCCTGTACTTCCTCTCAGCCTCATTTTTTAAATATGAATGCATTTCATCCATCTGCTGCTTCACTCTCAGACTCCAACAATGAGTGCCTTTGGAGACACACAGAATAAGACCATTTGGAACTTCAGTATATATATTTTGAGACAGTGTCTCTCTCTGTCACCCAGGCTAGAGTATAGTGGCGTCACCTCGGCTCACTGCAACCTCTGCCTCCCAGGTTCAAGTGATTCTCCTGCCTAAGCCTCCCTAGTAGCTGGGACTACAGGTGTATGCCACCACATGTGACTAATTTTTGTATTTTTAGTAGAGATGAGGTCTCACTGTATAAGCCGGGATGGTCTTGATCTCCTGACCTTGTGATCCACCCACTTCAGCCTCCCAAACTGCTGGGATTACAGGCGTGAGCCACTATGCCTGGCCACCTATATATAACCTATATATAAAGTTTTATGCCTAACAATATATGTAAGGTACACCACTTTGAATTAAGTAATGTAGACTCATGTTTCATATGTTGATATAACACAACATGCTAAAATGGCTAAAAATGAGTGCTATAGAAATAAACTTGCTGTTCATATTCAGGATTTCTGAGGCTGCTGACAGTATCCTAGCAACTACCACCTGTTACTTGAAGCCACCTAAGTTAGATGTTGATTGTAGAATGAGGAGATGAAGGGGGTTAGAAAGGAAGGTGAAGTGGAAAATCAACCATTGAAAACCCCCAGGGAGGAAAGCCTTCTATTTTTTATTATCTTAAAATGTCTGAAGTGTAATATGGGAGAGGACTTGGTGAAGTTCCTTCAACATTTTATATAATATCCTGGGGGTAAAGAGGAAAGCTTGACTTCCTCCTCTCCTTCAAAGAGTTCTTAATTCCTTTGTGTTTTTACTCGCTATCCCCAGTGTGCTAGCTACTGCAGGGACACGAAGACAAATAGGACATCTGGGATGAGCCAGATGGAGCTTAATTTAGGCTTTGACATAGGCAGATGACCTTTCTTAATTTTAGATTCTTCAAGTCACAAGAGATAAAATTATGACCTTTCAGATTGTTGAGAACATATTTAAAAGTCTCCTGCACCTTGTATTGGCATATGGTTAACCAGTCACTTCCTTCCTTCCTGTTTATTTTCTTCATTTTCCCTATTTCTACCCTTTTTTCCCTATAAGCCTTTATTTCTCCCTTTCATTATTAAAAAAATAAGCTCCTTTCTAAGGGCAAATTAATTTTAATGATAAACATTTATATCCCAATATCAAATATATATATATGCATATATATGTATACTTTGTTAGATTAGAATAGGAATGCCACAGAACTTCATAAAGGGTTATAAAAAATACATGTACTGAAATATGTAATAACATGTAACTGTAACAAAAGACATGAAGGCTCTGATATGGTTTGGCTGTGTCCCCACCTAAATCTCATCTTGAATTGTAGTTCCCATAATTCCCACATGTTGTGGGAGGGACCTGGTGGGAGATCATTGAATAATGGGAGTGGTTTCCCCCATACTGTTATCGTGATAGTGAATAAGTCTCACGAGAGCTGATGGCTTTATAAGGAGTTTCCACTTTCCCTTGGCTCTCACTCTCTTGCCAGATGCCATGTAAGATGTGCCTTTTGCCTTCCACCATGATTGTGAGGCCTCCCCAGCCATGTGGAACTGTGAGTCCATTAAATCTCTTTTTCTTTATAAATTACCCAATCTTGGGTATATATTTATCAGCAATGTGAAAATGGACCAATACAGGGTCCATTTGGCTACAGTTGTTATGCAAATATGTGTGTATCTCATGTCAGGTGTGACGTCAGTAAGGGAAGGTGGTGAGAAAACGTATACACGTATTTTGGAGGGGACACACTGAAACTACAGCAGAAGGCATGGAGGTAGAGTTGGGGAGTGGGTTGGTATGGTTTGGCTGTGTCCCCACCCAAAATCTCATCTTGAATTTTAATCCCCGCATGTCAAGGGTGGAAGCAGGTGGAGTTAATTGGATCATGGGGGCAGTTTCTCCCATGCTGTTCTGGTGATAGTGAGTGAGTCTCATGAGATCTGATGGTTTTATAAGCATCTGGCATTTCCCCTGCATGTACTCACTCCGCCCTGCCACCCTGTGAAGAAGGTGCCTGCTTCTCCTTTGCCTTCCACCATGATTGTACTTTTCCTAAGGCCTCCCCAACAATGTGGAACTGTGAGTTAATTAAACATCCTCCCTGTATAAATTACCCAGTCCCAGGCAGTTCTTCATAGAAAGATGTATTCATTATTTCACAGAACATTACAACCCATCAGAATCTGATTGAGAAAATCAAAGTGATATTCATGATAAAAACAACACAATATTTATGATAGTAACAATAAAAGCACAAGAACATTTATTAGGGATTTATGCATAGATGATCTCTTCTGACCCTCACTATAATCCTGTGAAACAGGTTTTATTGTCACCTTCAAAAAGACTAAAAAAGTTTCAGGTATGAGATCCCTATGAAATCATGGAGGTGGAATTTGAACCCAACTCTTATGATTCTAAATCCTAGGTTCTTTCTCCTACACTATGCTGCTCATATTTTCAAATAATTATATAGATAAGAAGCCCTCCCTTATAGAAGTATAAAAGTTTATATCAAAGATTAGGGGAGAAAACTGTAGTTTTTCTCACCACCTTTCCTTACCCATATCACATCTGACACAGAGACACACACACATTTGCATACACAGTTGTAACCAAATGGAGCCTTCATGGTTTTTGCTAGATACATGTTGTTACATATTTTAGTACATTTTTAAATAACACTTTATGAAGCTCTGTAACATTCCTATTCTAGCCTAGCAGGTTTTTCTCAATTGAAGACTTCTCAAAGAACAGATTTTTAAATGAATTTAATCTTTCAGTTTGAACAAATGATTTGATCTTGAACAATATTTATTTAGTACTTATTGAATAGACATGCTTGGAATTTTATGTCATTAGCCAATATACATTAATCCCTTTGGCTCTTAACTTATTTCACAAAACTTTAAGAATGGCACTAATTCTTTTGTTGCATCTCAACTTGCCTTCTATCAGCAAGGAACTCTGCTACTGACTATGGTAACATATCCATACTTGAGTGTGCGATGTGGGTTGTGATAATGGCAGAGAGAAAGGAAATGCATTACCCAAAGCAAAAGGGCAAGAGAAAAAAGAATTTTTTGTGTCCATTGGAGATCTAAGTTAAATAGTTTGAATTCTGGCTCAAGAGTTTTGTGCTCTTTTAACTCATTCCCCATCTCTACCACCATACCTTCTGCTATGGTTTGAATATGTCCCTTCCAAAATACATGTGTTAAAACTTAGTGGCCAATATAATAGTATTAAGAAGTAGTACCTTTAAGAGGTGATTAGGTCTTGAGGGCTTCTCTTATTAATGGGATTAAGGCCTTTATGAAAGAGGCTTTGCACAGAACTGGGTTGGCTTACCCTTCTGCCTTTCACTTTGTGAGGATACAGCATTCCTTCCCTCTGAAGCATGCAAGAACAAGGTGCCATCTTGAAAGCAGAGAGCAGTTCTCACCAGATAACCTACTAGTACCTTGATCTTGAACTTCCCAGTCTCTACAACTGTGAGAAAATAAATTTCTGTTTTTCATAAATCACCTATTCTTAGGTATTTTGTTATAGCAGCACAAACAGACTAAAACATCTGCCTCTGCATGTTCGATAGGTTTGAACAAGCAGTGGGAATTAGCAATGGCAAAAGAATAGGACCTCAGCTATTGGCAGTTGCATAAGTGACCATGGTACTGGTTGGAGGAGAGAGATGACCCTGTGACAGAATGAGCAATACTCCATTTAACAGGAAATTCAGCCAAGTCATGAGCAAGAGATGGGCTGCTGCAATCTTGTGGGAACCCCTGTATCAGCAGCTTTAGAAATAACTCTTCTTGGCTAGCACTCGGCTATGGAGTGGAATGGGTCTCAGAGTAGAGCCAGGGTTCCGGAGACTACAGCCCAGCAGTCCTCAAGGACAAGACTGACGTCATTCTGAGCCACACATATCACATTACTGAAAAGATTAAACCTTAATTAGATTGTAGTGAATAAAACTTACTCAAATTGTATATCCCTCCAGCTACCCAATCACCTACAAACACACAGTGATAATATGAATGAACACAAGGCTTTATTTTAGATTTACTCTATAGGTCCAAAGGCATCTATTTTGAACTGTGATACAAGTACAACACACACATTAAAAAGAATATTCTTCAGAGATGGTGAAAATGAGTTCAATTTGTATGAAATGATAGAAAATGAAACCATCCAAATATCAGTACTCTCATTCTTCTCTGAGGCACAAAATGCCACAGCTTAATAGGAAAGTTACAGATTTGCTACAAGGGAGAAAAGAAGAAAATCTTCAGACAGAGAGAGAGAGCCTTTTCTTTATTGTTACCTTGATAAAACTATAATTTTTCAAGAAAAATTACCATCTTCACGAACTCTGATCATTCATATTACAACCAGTGATGAGAAAGTAATGGTTAAGGACAAAGTTAAAAGATTTGCATCAAATTATTACCACCACCACTGCATTTTGATATACAAATATGAAATAACAATTACTCATCAACCATTTATAAATTCTAAATTATACCAAATAGTACATGT